TAAGCTGAGAATCCTCAAATTCATCCTACCAAAAAAACCCCAAACAAACCAACCACCAAACCACAACAATTTATAAATAGGCACAGATCAGCCAGTCATGGACTCTTATTTTATCTTGCCTTGCAGGTCAGTTCTTGAACCATGAAGTTAAGCTTCTTCAGGAATCCCTAAATGCAAGTCGTCAGGAGGTTGGGCAGAACCAAACTGAGGTGTTGAAGGCAAACCCTACAAACACCCTGAAGGTGAAGGAGCGGCTCGTTCCTGTTGTGTGGAAGCAGAGGAGGATCTACAATGGCCAGCAGGAAGTTGACTGCTGGTTTGCCAAGAACAACGCAGACAAACTGATCGATGGGAGCTATAAGGACTATTTGGCTTCTCATCCTTTCGACACAGGGACCAGCTTTGGGACAATTAACAGCCTTTAAGACCAGTCACAGCCATGCATTGCAGCAGCACGTGTGACAGCAGGTCCCTTCTGAAGCCTTAAGGCAATTTATGAATATTTCCTTATGTTTTGGTGCCAAAGAAACCAAGGATTTTGTCCTTGGAAATCAGCTGTCTCTTTTTCATGCTAAATGAACGTTCATCAAATTCCTGAAGAAAAAGAAGGCTGGGGGAAATGACATGGTTGAAGGCATGATTGGTGCTCTCCCAGTGGAAAGGGAGGGAGAAAAAAGCCAGTGAAGAGTGCAGATGCTGCTGGCCTTAAATCCATGCAGGGATCTGTGCAATACCCCCTGGGGCTGGTGAGTCACCCCACAAAAGGTAGATCATGCAGCACAGTGCCTGTTGAGGTGATAGGCTTTGCAAAGAAGTGACTTGGAGCACCTGCTCCAACCTTGGTCCATGGGGAAAGGAGAGAAAGACAGAAAGAGAAGAGAGGTGGGTGGCTATTCATCTTCAGTGACCCATTAGCATCAAACAAAATCAAAACCTTAAATCAACTGGCCACGGGAGGGTATTGCTTTCCTGGTTAGTGAGATGAGGTCTGGATTTGCCACTAAACATGATGTTCCCTGAATCTACTACAAGCCCTTAAAATAGTGGTGAAAACCTTGATGGGGTTAATTGGCGCACAGGCTGTGTGCTTAAAAAACACCTCTGGTCCTCAGCAGCAACAGGAGTGGTGCAGGCTCCCATTCCATGGAGCACTTAATTCAACATAATTCAATTTAAATGACATTGCAGGGTTAGTGATTTCTTGAGTCTTGACTCCCTCAGAAAGGAACGAAGTTCCACTGTGAGCTTCCAACAGACCTGCCACGTCCTTGAGCATCACGCCCCTTCTGCTCAGCAAAGATTAAAATTTCCTAAGGGATGACAAACCAGAACCCACAACAGCTTGTGAGCTTACAAAGCAGCCTCTTGAATTTTGACTAGATGTTTCTAGCTGCTTTTGTAATCAGGGAGGAAGTCTTTATTTATTCCAAATTGTCAAAAAATTTTCATCCCGATTTCCCCTGGCTTCTTCTCCTTCCTTACACTGCAGGAATTTGTGCGCAGCAGGAATTTGGCAGCAGGAGGTTACAGAAGGGTCTGCCAGCCACCCCCACTGCAGGTGGTGCTCCAAACCCAAAACTGCAGGGCTGTGGTGTATTTTAAAGTGAGGCATCACTGAGCAATGCTATAGATCAGCCACAGGGGAGTTTTAGCAGAGAGCCTCTCCGAAGGGGACTTGATAACCACAAAGACATTTACATGGCAAGGCCAAACTGAGCTCATGAATACTCTGCCTTTCCATAATTGAAAAAGAGGGAGGCTGGGTGTGGAAGCATCTCCAGGAATTAAATGATATCCATGTGTTCGGAGAAAACAGTTGCCAGAGACCTCCAGAAATAGGTTCAGTCTTGACTGATTTTTTTCATATTTAACAATTAAATCATATTGTTACTGTTGGAGTTCCAGCTGCTGGGGGTAGGGTGGTGATTTTCCAGTTGCTTGATCAGCTCATTAGTGCTGCAAGCACCGTGGCAGCTGAGCAGGTGGCAAGCATGGTTTCTTTACTCACTCCATGTGCTGCCTGGAAGAGGGAAACAGCCAAAAGCAACCAGCAAGATTTAACTGCACTCTGGAAGATCCTTACAGAGAGCTCAGTTAGCACAAAACATGCCAAGGCTCGTACTTTGGAACAGAACATAAAGAAGAAACTACTGCTTTGGGCCTTGCTATCTTGAGAAATAGCTCTCCTGCTAGGGAGAGCTAAAGGCAAGACCTTCAGCACAGTCCTGAATGTGGAATAAGAACAGAGGTTTAATGCTCAGCAGTTTGCTAGTGGGCCAGAAAGAGATGAGGAAGAACAGCTGTGAAGTTGACTTGTCTGCCCAAGAAGACAGTAGGAAGATCACCCACAGCCCACATCTGAACAACCTGAGCAAAAAGGAAAGTGGCAGTGGATTTCTGGACAGCCCAGGGTTTGGCAGGTGTTTCCATACTGTCCTCACTGAAACCTCCCCTCTCTTCCCACATTGTGCTGTCCACGTGTATTGCTAAGGGGAGTGAACAGCTTAGGCTCTCCCCCCATCTCCTGTGTATATAGACATGTATATAATATATATAAACACACACCTACTGCTAGTAATTTGGGTGCATCATTGCTCCTCTTTCTCCTCCTCCAGCCAAGGAAACACATTTCTTTCAGGGCCTGAAGATAGCAATGTTCAAGTCCAACTTCTCAGCGATACGAAGCACCTGGAGCAATATACTCAAGGTCTCCTCAAGGCTCCAGTTATCCATTTCACAATAAATATTTTACAGTGAACACTGCAGTGGAGCTTTCATTTGGCAAAGATAAAACAAGCTTTGAAGCTAAGGTTGTGTGTGTTTTATGCTGCTGGACAGGCCTGCATTACCAGATGACTGAAAGAACCACTCACAAATAAACAGTAAGTTGGGAACCAAACTAATTTCAGTGGAAAGTTAAAGGTCACTGATGTTCTTCATTCTCTATATGCTTGTTAGGAGGCAAGGACAGACCCTAGGGTTCTACTCCCACATTGAAATGAGAGTTTAACCACAGACTTTAAATATAGTAGACTAGGACATGGGAAAACAGCTTGTGCTCCTGCTGCCCCGATAGCAAAGGCAGGTCATGGACTGTAAATTTCAATTTTTTTCAGCTCTGAAGTGGGCATCACAACACTTCCCTCTCTCATGAGGGGGTATGTGTTCAGGCTTGGTCCTCATAGCCCTTCATGCTATCCCAGAGAGCTGCCAGACCTCTATGCAGTTATTGCAGTGAAAAGGCATTTGTTCTCATCTCCAAGAGTGTCACAGAGCACTTGGATTCACAGGGATGTGCCTATGAGTGCACAGTGCTCAGCTCAGGAATGAGGCTGAGCAATCACTCTGGAGTGCAATGGAAACAATTGCACAGCACCATTCCAGAGATGGAAAGGGATCAGGGCTGCTGAAACAGCACTGGCTACACAAGGATTGAGGGAGAACCTTCCCCCACATCTTACTTGTCCTGCTATTGCTGATTGTGAACCTTCTCAGCCAGCCACAACTAAGGGCTGAAATGAAGGTCATGTCACTCATATGCCAGTTTAGGACAAGGACATCGCTTTGGCCAAATCTGCAGTCTTCACCCACTGCAGGATTGCACTGTGCAGCCCCATAGCAAGAACAAAACTCCAAAACACCAGTATTCCTCAAAACTGGGAACAAGTTTTTAATAGGGGAGCTGTCTTAATCTATTTCCAGTCAAAACCTTACACAGCCCAGGACTTACTCCAACCCTTACTAGTGCAGAACTCCCCAGACAAGCAGAAGTTGTATTGTGAAACCCACTGCAGTGAGCAATATAAATAATCCATTCAGAGCGCTGTGTGCCATGTGTTCCAAAAGCCTTTTGATGTGCCAGCAGAAGTAGGATTTTGACCCTTCATTAAGAAAGAAAAACAAAAAAGGACTTAATTTCCAGAAAAACAGTTTAAAGCTGCACAGCTGCAAGTGTAGCCAAGCGTGTCTAGTTCACTGAGGGGCATCCGAGACTTTGATTTGCATCTAAGGCTTCAAACCACTTTGAAGTCAGGAGAAAAACAACAAAACAAACCCTCAAAAAACCCCCACCAGATACCTTCACATGCTCCAAGCTCAGCCTTTAAATCTAAATCCATCCAAGTTAAAAAATCAAAATCCTTTAATTTTAACTCCTTAATATGGGCTGTTTTCTTGGGAAAAAGGGAAAAAGGAAAATAAAATATCATTCCCATCCATCACTTAAGGGGAGTTGTCTTGCAAGAATCGGAGGATACCAAGTCCAGTGGATCCTGGATCTCTGCTCCGAGGACTATCCCCCCATTTGGACTCTGGATGGGTCTCTCCACAGCTGTGTCTCTGCATCCAGCCTGGGAGTGGGGTGATGCAGCTGGCTCTGTGCTCCCTCCCTCCCCAGGACAGCTGCAAAGTGTTTTGCATTTTTGTGTTTATAGACAAATACAGTTTGCTAAGAGGAAAAGCAAACAGGGAAAAGCCCTGCACTTCACACTTGGAGCAAAAAGCACCAGTCCTAGGGTGCCCCAGGGTCTTTTCCAGGTCCTTCCTTGCCCCCAAAACAGGGCTAGCTTATGGGGCTTTCAGATGCAGTTTGAATCAGATCCTGCAGACGTTTCAGTTGTTTATTTTAAACAAAGGCGAGTTGTCAACTTCCAGTAAACACTCCCTTCCAAGGTGGTGACTGGGATCCATCTCTGAGTCTGTCCTGGAGCCCAGCACAGGCTGATGCTGCAGCATCAGGGCTTTGCACTAAAGCAGCTCTTACAACTCAACCACAAAAACCAAGTTCTGTGGCTCAAGCTCTTCATCTTCAGGTTTACCAGAACAGAAGCACAACCTTCCCTGGTCAGCAAAGATTTAAACAGCTCCCCTTCCTCCCTTTCACAGTGTTAGGGTTGTGCAGAACATTAAGCACATGAAAGCATTTAATCTATGAAGCAATTTTAGGTCAAATATTTATTGGATTCCTTATAAAATAGTAAAAAGAATCAGATCCACTGGAACAAGCTTCCCAATTCAAGACATTTAAATACATATTGCAAACCAATTCTTTTGAGCATTGTGCATATAAAAGTGTCATAGCTCAGGTACTACAGAATAGAGCCTTTTTTTTTTTTCTATTAAAAAAACAGACAATCTTTTCATTTTAGTCTCTAGCCCTGAAAAAAGAAAAAAAAAAAGTCACACTCAAGTTTGTCCAGCCAGGGAAGTACATCCCTGTATCCCCAACCTCAATGTGCCTGTGTGTGGGGCAGACAGGTAAAGCAGATACTGCTCAAGCCTGTACAAGATGCACAGATACCATCCCCAAGACAACTGCAGGATAGGTCTAAGATGAGGCAGGCAAAAAGATCTCTGTAGATCCACAAGAGTCACCCAGTATTCCCCCACCCTGCCCTTCCTTGGCCAGCTCAAGGATCACAGTGCTTCTCCTTCCTCCATCTCCCTTGTCCCACTGCTGTCAGATGACCACTTGATAGCTGGGCTGCTTCATCTTCTGGCTGGTTCCCTGGAGTCCTGAAATATCCTGGTCGCTTTCAGACTGATCATAATCCATGTCTGGAGAGAGCAGTACCTAGAGAGGAGAACAGACAGATGATACTGGAGTCAAAGGTCTCAGATCTTCTCAGTCCTGCTTGCTGAACAAGTCAAGCAATCCTAGAGGGGGCTGCTGCCAGATCCAATCCTCTCTGGCAGATGGGTAAGGCCTCAAGGTGATCTAAACCATCTCCCCAGCAACAGCCAAATGGATTTGGGCACAGACACCATGACCTTCTGGTGTCCCAGCTCTTCCTTGAGAGCAGAATGGGCAGCCCAAGGCTCTGTTCCCCATGGGACAGGACTCACACATGGATGTTGAGGCCTGGCTGAAGCCTCAGTGGAGATGTACAAAAATGAGGCCACATGTTTTGTGAACAGCTATACCACATGTGGACCTTTTCCCAGGCCCCCAGGTGCTTGTCACCTCTGCAGCTCAGCCAGAAGGGCAAGCAGAGCTACAGGTTCAGCTTCAGCCCAGCCAGCCAGCTCAGGAGTGGTGTTCCAGCCTGGCAGCACCTCATTTCTGCTTCTGCCTGGCACAGCAGCTCCTGGCTCAGTCCGAATTGTGGGAGCCAAAGGAGAGCAGTGACACCTCTCACTGCTGTTTGAGGTAAAATAGCACTTTTTTTTTTTTTTTTTTTTTTTTTCAGGACCCAAAGGCTGCCCTTTTCCCCCAGGAACCCTACACCCTCAGTAGTTAACTCCACACCTGAGCCCACCATGGGCTGCCATCAACCTGGAGCATTTGAAAGATGCAGACAGAGCCATATGTGGGCATTGTCCAGCCACATCCTCTGGAAGAGGAAAAAGGCTGGATTCTATCCAGGAGATGGCTGCACTGACTGCAGAAGAGCTGGAACCCAGTGCCAGGCAGCCAGCAGTGTGCATGGGTAATATTCATGGCTGGACAGATTAGAATCTTTGACTCCTCAAGGCTGGAAAAGACCTCTTAGGCTGAGTTAAACCATTAACCCAGCACTGCCAAGTTTATCTCTAAACCTAAATGTCCCTGAACACCACATCTACGTGGTTTTTGAACACTTCTAGGGATGGTGATTCTACCATTTCTCTGGGCAGCCTGTGCCAGTGCCTGACCACCCTTTCAGTAAAGAATTTTTCCCTAATATACAGTATAAACCTCCTCTGGTACAACTTGGGGTCATTCCCTCTTGTTCTGTTCTTGCCACCAGAGAGAAGAGACTGATCCCACCTGGCTACAACCTCCTTTCAGGGAGTTGTAGAGAGGAATAAGGTCACCATTGAGCCTCCTTTTCTCCTGTATCTCCAGTTCCCTCAGCTGCTCCTCATCAGTTGTGCTCCACACCAGGCTGTTTGCTCAACCCTCCCCTATCCCCATCTCCTCAAACACCCACATTTGGGCAAGAGAAGCTGCACTGTCACTATGAAGTCCCCGTGCCTGACTCAGCAGAGGTCTAAATCAAGGGATGGTTGATGGACTTTCAGCCCAGTGCTCACACACAGAACATTCCTAGAGCCCAGGATCCCTGGGGCAAAACCAGGAGCAAGGGGAATTACTCCTGTCTCTGTCTATTTCCACGCGCAGTTATGAATTCACGTGCCCTCCACTTGTTAGGACTCACCACAGGGCCTGTCACTACAGCAACAAAAACATTAAACAGGAAAAACAGAACTCCAGTGAGTCAGTGACTTCAAAGGAGCAGAAGAGCCGCAGGGGAAGATTTCCTCCTCCCCACCCTCACACACACCCTAGCCCCTCCATCCAGTGCTGTTCCCTTCACAGTCAGACACCCAAAGGACAGCAGCAGACTGGATTAAGCTTTCTTGTTGTCCCCCTCATTGGTCTCAAGGAATTTATTTATTTTTTTTTTCTGGTTCAGGACACACACTGGAAAGTTTCCATCTCTCTCACGTGAAGATTTCCTCTGTTTATCACATAGGTATTGTGATGCTGCTGAACCTGAAGAAATGTGTGGGTAATTACTCATAGGCAGCGCTGTGAACTCAGTGAGCTCTGATGGGCTGCAACAAACTGGTTGTGGGGTCTGCTGAACTGGTGATTTGGCTGGGCTTCAGCTGAAAACTCAAATCCCCTTGCAGCCAAGCAGGGATGGTGACAGTGTTGTGCATCCAGACCCATCCAGGCTGCCACCTGCCCACCACACACTTGTAGGAAGCCACAGGAGCCAACAGTCCCCCAGTAACCTTTCCACAATTCCCCAGCAAGCAGCACCATGAGAGAGCACCTCGTTGCCATGACAGCCACAGGACTCATCCTCAGATATTGTTTTCAAGCCCAACTCCAATTTGGGAGTTTTCAGAACAAGTTGGACAAGGCTCTTCTTTCCCTGCAGATGCATCCAGGTCAGGATCACAGCAGGCTGGTGGCACAGATGGGAATGGGACGTGGTTTTCCAGTCCTGGCACAATGTGCTGCTGTCTCAGCAGTCCTCAAACACCTCACACATTCCACAGCATGATTTGCTACGAGTCAGGAGGACTGTGAAGTGGGACAGCTTCCTTCCAGAGCCACCTCTATGCCCACCTTCACTTATCTTCCCTGTATGGACCTGGCACCTGAGTTTACCACGAGTTTGAGACAATTAAAAATAAAAATAAAATGAATAAAAATTGTTTCTCAGCTAAGCAACAGGCAAATCCAACTTGCTGTTGGACTAAGTGTTTCAACACTTTAAAAGTAAGCAGCACTGTATTGGTGTTTATCAACATCTTCATCTAATGAATGCCAAAACAGAGTTCCTTATGAAGGGAATTAGGACAGGTGCTGAACTCCATCCTGATCAAAGGCAGGCCCTCATGCAGTAAATTAACTTTCCTTCCAGCCTCAAAGTAGCCTCTACTTTCACCCTTATTTTTCTCACAAGTACCAATGTTACTGGACTTTTGCTTTAAGGGTTGTCTCTAAAATGTAAGCCTTCAGGAAAGGAACAGAAACTCATCCACCTCCCTGGGGAAAAAAAACAACAACTGAAAAAAAGATCAAATAAAACATTATTAAAACCGGCTTGTTTTCCTTCGTGGAGGAAACAAAGAAATCACTGATAAGATCTAAAGTTCATTGGGAGTTACAAGGGCAAGGGAAAAGAGCCTCGGGTCAAGGGCAGGACACATACAAAGCAAAAATAAGGGCCTTGCAGATGAATTAATTTCCCCAAGCTGAACAGCATTGGATGCAAACTGGCATTCAAGAGATCCTTTTCTATCCCACAAGAGGGAAAAAAAAATTACTCCATGAAAATTTACAAGGCAGGGCAGGAGACTGAAACAACACAAAGCTTAAAACTGACATGGAAGGAAAGAAGGGTGAGATTCTTCCAACCATGAAGGGAGTTTGTCCCTTTCTGGGATTCAGTGTAGAAGAAGCAGCAAGAGCTCATCCTCTGGTTCACCAAAGGAGCTTTAAAGCCCTCATGAGGCTGCCACTTCCTTGGCTGCAGCCACAGTCAGTAAGTGACACCAGAAACAGGATTGCTGTTGTTGGGTTTCCTGCTGCCCAGCTGCTCTACCAAGCCAAGGACAGAGCTGAGGTTTCCTGCTGCCCCCAGAGAAAGCCAGAGCGTGGGCTTTTAACAGGTTAACTCCAGCCCACTCCTTCCATTCTGCTTCCTATCTCTCCCCCTCCTTTTCCAAACGCAAACTGCTGGTTCATGTGAAAATAATGACACTCCATTGGTGAGATAGGCAGAGGGTTGAAATTCAAGTCGGCAGTGAGATGGGGAGCTGGTGGCGCCTGCAGCGAGACAGCCCTGATGAACCCTGATAAACCTGTGGGACACATTAGCTCTGCCCTACACACCTCAGCCCCCCTTCCTCCTCCAATGGGCAGCAGGAAAACAAGAAATTCCCCCACATGAACAGGTTATTAGCAGCAACAAGCCCAGCAAATGCTCATTTTCTGCTTTTGAGCCTAAATTCCAGTCAATCCAGCTGTAGGGCTCAGCCAGTCAGCATGATCTTTAGTTCACAGCTTAAGAAGCTGACACCTGAAGCAGGAGCTTAAGGCTATTCCTCAAGGCCCAGTGCCAAGAAAGAGCAGGAAAACATGTTACCCACTTCTGTGTTTCTTCAAAAGCTTCCTTCCCTGCCCAAAATATCTGTCAGGCCAGAGGCACAGAAACATGTCTGAGCATAAAGGAGGCAATCCCTGCAGACTGCTCCAAGAAGAAACCAGTCCCCTTGGTAGCTCCACTGCAGTGATGGATCAGAGGGTTTCAGGATGAACACATGACCTGCACATTGCTGAATTTTTGCTGAAGTCTTCAGGGAAAACCAGTCAGGTACTTGGAAGATGAGAGAAACCTTTGACAGAACGTGACAGATTGTGGGAATTGTTTCCACTACTTGAAACTATTGACCTGCCAGAAGTGGCTTTCTTGGCATCTAGAAATTAGTAGGTGTTGTTCCTTCAGATATCCAAAACTGAGACAGAAGTCACAAAACACTTGGGAGTGCCAGTGGAACAAGAAAGAGGAGCAGCTCCATCTCCATGGAGGAGCAGTACCTGTGACACCATCTGCCCATCCATGGCAACCACCATCTGCCAGCCTGCCTGCTGCAAGGTTTGGCTCCAAAAGCTGTGAAGGAAGTTCTTGTCTCAAATAGAGATGTCACCTCCTTAGCTCTAATTCTGAGCTGGTAATTCTGAGTGACCTTGGGCCTTCAGGAACACATCCAGTGAGCAGGGCTGGGCTTTACCACCAGTGACCTCGCCAGAACTGTTCATCCAGAGGCAGGCCCAGGATTCCTCTGACATTGCCTGAGCTGTGGCCACTTCCCCACTGCACCCCTGGGACACAGAAGCCTTGGCTGCTGTGCAGACTGCCAAACACATACTGTTAAAACATCACCACCTCTGTGTGTGCTGCAGTGCCACCAGCAATGGGCCATCCCATCTATCAGCACAAGAGCTGAGTTATTCCTTGTGAAAGAACTCTCAGAGAGCAGGAGCTATTTCTGTTCATCTAAATTCCTCAGCAGAAGCTCCTCCAGGAGCCAGGCCGTGATTACCAGAAATTATCTTGTTAAGTCTCTCCAGTGAGCTGCAGGATATCAGCAGTCACACAAGAACACACTGAAACCAGGCCTGGGTGCCAGGAGAAGGAAGGGAATTCCTCCCAGGGACCAAAACTGTGGACTGTGCCCAAAGGTCAGTAAGAAGTAGACACCACCTACCCAACAAACCACACATGATTAAGAAGAACAAAGTCTGCTGGAACTGCAGCATTTCCTCCCCTACCGTAACTTGTAACTGTCAGGCTCAGGCTACACAAAACACAACAGCCTCAACCAGCTAAGAGACAATAATCTGGTTGAAAAAAATACCAAATGCAGACAAAAATAGGATTCCCAGCTAAGCCTTGTCCTCTAAAAGGGATGCTAACAATTACTGAAAGTAAGCACTTCCCAGCCAAAATTAATTACAATTAAATACAGCAAAGCTCAGAGTGACAGTTTTAGCCTGCACACACAGATCAGTGCAGAAGCCAGGTCATCCCCCCAAGATACTGTCATCATTCAGGGCAGTATTTCAGCAACACCTCCTGGGCTGTGACACTGCTCATGGCTAGACTGAGTTTGACTTCTCAGGGTGATCACCCACGTTCATGAAGCACCACCCCAGGTTCAGGCAATGTGATGTTCTGTTAGGGTTGTGGTAAAACACACAGACCATCCCACAAGCTTGCATCCCTGGTCTTACCTGAGATTCCTCAGTCCTCCTGGCCCGAGGAGTTTCTGTGGATCCATTGATGTCTAGGGTATCCTTCTGCTTGTATTTCCTCATGATCAAGCTGTCCACAACCCAGAACATAATGGCCTTGGGGAGAAAGAAGTTACATCAACAGGTTGCAGAGACCAAAATACAGAGTCATTCAACCACAGATACTTCTTCTCCTCTTGGGTTCTCCAGATATCCAGCCTTGATCAACCTCGTATCTAAATCAGCCCTGCATCAATTGTGTCCATGGGGATTGGATGAGTCAAATTCCTTAAGTCCCTTCTTACACATGTCCTATTGTTTCCATAGTTGTTGAAGACCCAGATTAACCGCAACAGGCCGAGTTTCCACCAGAACATAACCACTGAACCAAGTTCCATCCAAAGTTCATCTGCCTGAACCAGTCCCTGGTCAGTTCTCTGAGGACCAGAATTTGCTTTCTAATGTGCAAAGAGGCAAATGGGATGGTGGAGAGAGGCAGATCAATCCAACTTTGCTAGTGCTGCATCCATTGAAATGTGCATGGGATGAACTGAAAGTGAGTTCAACTCCCTGCTTGTCCAGGGAGCATCTGAGTGTTAACACCTTGTTCCCACTTCCCACCTCAGCAGGAACTGAGCAGCAGCTCAAGGATTACCCAGAATGAGGGGAACCAGGAAAAAGCTGAGCTTTCAAGAGGTTTTGTCAAATTAGTTTTGAGAAGAACAATTCTGGGTAACCTTGAGCACCTTGTCTTACTGTAACATAATCTGACATCCAGTCAACTGGCTGGATTGTCAAGTCAAAAGCCATCCTATAGGACATTAAAGGGCTTTGGGCATCCCCACACCCACTGCTTGCTGCTGAGATGAGCTCTCACCTAACAAGACCCAGCTTTATTCCAAGAGGTGAAGAGTCAGCCCCACAGCAGCTCAGAGAAAAGGTTGTGAATTGGGAACAGAGTCTGTGGCAGTGACAGATTTCTTAACAAACCCCTCCATCCCGTCCCAGCCACTTCAAGGCTGCCCCCAGCCAGTCCCTGTGCACACTCCCATGAGGGTGTACTGTAATTTCCAAACCATCCCACCCAGCACTTGCAGAAGCACCACTTACATTGACAATGAAAGGCACAACAAACATCACCAGTACAAGCTCCAGCTGAGGGCTTGGGATGTAACCCAGGAGGATCTGCTGAAGCTGCAGAGGAGAAAACATTTAGAAGCATTATTTGGACAGCTCTGTTGCAAGACCTTTGATGAAAACTGGTTGTCTTCGTACGTGAGCAGCCAGAGCTCTGTAGCCTGTGCTTCAACCCAGCTCTTTAAAGATTACACAGGATATTTATTCCCTTAGCCCAGCTGCCAAACACATGATCTTGTACAGAAACAAGTACTGTGAGTCTTTCAGTGCATGACAACAACTGGTGGGACTTCCCTTGGCTCCCTGGAGCTCATCTGCAGAACAAGGACACCAGCCACGAACAATAATCATGGAGAGGAATCCAGCAGCATCTCTGGATCTGGATTTGTGCTGCTGAATAAGTTCACATCCAAGTGTGAGCACTGTGGGCTACTGGGTTTGAAGGACAACCCTTGAAGAGATAAGTGCTCCCAGACTGCTGAAGATAACTCTCAGTCAAGTTACACACAGTGCCTGGTACCTCAGAGCCTGGTGAAAGTGGACTCCAAACTGACTCTCAGAATTAGGATTTTACACCCATCACACCTACCTGCCAACAGGTATGTGGCTAAAAGCCCCATAGACTGTTATTTTTATTTTTTTAAAGATAAACTTCTGATCAGCACAATTAACATTGCTGGCATGCAGAAGCAGCTGAGCCGGAAAAGATAACACACTGCTCGTACAGCTCTTTCCAAATTAATCTGTAGGAGTCCCCCTGTTTTAAGCACAGGATCACAAAACACCAACATGGACTGACTTGACCGAATAACATAGAAATCCTCTGGCAGAACTGAAGGGAGCTCAGCTGCCAGCCCAGCCCATTTTAGCTTTCCAAGAATGGGAAAGAAAATTAAAGCATCATCTTATTCCATTAACTTTTGACTAGCAAGAGAATGCACCAAAAGCCAAACCATTATGAAAGTCATATTTCCCAAAATTTAAGTAATAGCTAATGACTACAAAGTGATGTCAACAAGTGTGAGGATTAAAAAAACCACGACAGATACAGCTAGAAAAATACTGCTTACCTTTGTCCAACCAGGGATAAGCAGGACAAGGCTAATCACAGTCTTCTCAAAAACCATTATCAGCAAGTAGAGGATACACTGGCCAATCCAAGCAGCAGCTTGTGGAGGGTCACCTGGAAAAAGAGAATATTAAATCTGGGACAGAGGACAGGAAAAGAAAGCCTTGTAGAAAAGTTGCCTCGTGCTTGATATTGACCCTCCTCTCTAAAGGACCAGTCAGTACCTGCACACTCTTCTATAAAATAAAGGCAAATAAATTATTAAAGATTTAATCTGCAATGTGCTCCCTGCCAAACCTTACCCATAGAGGTGCGAGAAACAGTTTGAAGATTTCAAGTCACCATTTTCACTACAAGCAGCATAACTTCTCAGCCCTGAACAGAATTACTTCATTGTGCTGATGAAGTGAAGGACTGGTTATGTGATACTGTCTGAGCAAGAGAAAGGGCTCCATTGCCTCAGTTTTTAAAGCAGTTCACTCAAGAAGAATCAATGCTAATTAAATATGAATGTTTCCAATGGGGTACTCACCAAGAAATAAGGAAAAGCATATTTGTGTTGTTAACAACAATAATGGTTCTGTATCTATTACATGTGCTTGCCTCAGCCCTATGTGAGCACCCTGCCAGCTGGTTATCACCTCCCCTGGCTCACCAGAGTATCTCAGGTCTGCAAAACTGAGCTTCTGCCTCCGGCTCAGGAAAGCTGCAGCACTTCCTCTTACTACTTGAAGACAAAGATAACTCCTGGCAACACTTGTTCCCAGCATAATCTGGCTGGAATTTGGAATTCCATCCGTACAGGGGAACCTGTGCAGTTGGCACTGACAGATGCCAATGCTCAATGTGGTCAGATGGCAGCAGGCTGGGAGCTTTGCTTCACTTTTGTCCACTTTTCAGCACAATTCTGTTGAGGTGTGGCAAGGGGAGACAACACCAGCAATCTGCAAAGGCACATTTATCCACCCCAATAAAAACCTCTGGCCACAAAAACCAGCAGCACATACTGGGATTTGGTAAGAGCTGGTGTCCAACCAAGCCCCAGCTCTGTGGGGATCTGCTTCCCAACAAGTGCAAAACAGGTACATTTGTCCTTATTCTGTCATTTGTTAGCAACACACCAAAACATCTGCCTCATTGCAAAGCTACAGCTAAAAAGCAGAAGTGTCCTGGTAGTGCCCAAGGTAGGATCACCTCGTGCCCCAAATTCTTCATTTCTCAAGCCATGAAAGAGAAGGAAGCAAAGAAGAGGAGAGGGAAGGACTGGGAGGCTGAGGGTGCAGGGATGAGGAGAGCAAGCAGAGAGAGCCAAACCAGCAGGAGCTGCATGCAGGGAGGGCAGGAAGAGGCAGACAGAAAGGTTATGTGGAAGCACACCCAGCAGAGCCTTTGGAGGATTTTGGAGAGAGGAATCTCTGCTCCCTGGCAGGCAACAGCTTAATGGGTGGTCTGTGAGGAGATGGGAGCAGTGTTAGAGGCAGCTGGCAGCCACAGGCTGGTGCCAGAGAGGCTTTGATCCTCCTAAAAGCCTCTCCCCGTAGATTAGGATGCCTGGCTGCCTTTGGCACACACATTGGGTCTAGTGAACCTTTTTGCCCCATATCCCAAAACAAACCAATTCTCCCAGAAACCCCCACATTATCACCACCCATCAGTGCTCTGAGTACAAACAAAACAGGAAAACAAACACATCCGTTGTATCCTTCCTGCATCTGAACTCTTTCCCTTTTGCTCTGTGTTGTCAGCTGTGCTCTGTCCCCCACGGAGGGACAGGACCAACAGCCACAACACCCTTTGTGAATCGGCTCTCTGACTTCCCTCTGTCATCTCAGCTTGCCCAAAGAGCAGCAGCAAGTTTGAGATCTCTCCCAGATACCTGCCCCCTTGCAGGGACATTCACCAGCACAACAATGGCCTGTGGCTCCTTGTTCTGCACTCCGTGCACTGGACAGCTTTTGGCTCAACAGGCTGATGCACAGACCCTGGGAAAGACAACCTGCTTCTTAACCCACCCTAGGCATGGACTTGCCTGGGGATTCAGCAATTCCACACCTAGCAGGGAGATCAGAGGGTGCTCCTACTGTTATTTTTTACTGCATCCTGATCTCCCGAGGACAGGAGGCTGCGCTGTACCAGAATGATTCAAGACAAAGGTAAAAACGAAACAGCAGCATGGCCTTAAGGGCTGCAAAGGTGACTTAGCAGCTCATTTCCACTTCACCAAGGAATGCAGCCATCTGCTTCTTACCTCAGCAGGTGTGGAGTCATCCAAGGACTGCTGATCCACCCCAGTAGATCCACTAATCCACCACCTAACACAAATAATTCAACTAACTCTGACCAATAACAGGAACATTCAAGCCAACATTTTCTGGCATCTCATCAGGGAAGCTTTTGGTGGGGTCCCTAGACAAGCCAGTAAGACAGATTTGCCCCATCTCCTTCCACAGCAGGGAAAGGCTGGAAAACTGGAGCTGAGCTCATGTAAGTGCTGGTTTCCTACAGATGGTCAGAGGCATCCTCAGATTCAGCCTGATGTCTTTGATGGATCAAGTGTTGCCCAGAGGTGCTCTGCACTGTGGATGGGAAAGCATTCTTCTTACAGGAAGCATTTCTGTACATAAATCTCAAGGAGAGCCCACAAGACTTTCAGCCACACCATACTGCCAGCCAGAAAAAGCTAATATGCTACCAGGAGGCTAAAAAAAAGGTCAGAATATAACAGATGTCCTCCTCTTTACTACAAGGAAAGGAAAGCTCTGAGCACAGCAGAGTGGGGAATTGGTCTAAATGATCTTTGCAGCCTCCACATCACACCTGCTAGGTGACTGTATATATCACACTCCCTCTGAACCCTTCCAGTTCCTTGTCCCTGGTTCCAGCTGGGAGGGAACCCAGCACATCCACTACATGAATCTATCACCACAAACCTCTCCCTCTAGCTTAATGAACACCCTCTGCTAAAACCTTCCTACAGCCATCTCCCCATCCTCACAGAAATTAAAATCTTCCTTCACTCCAAGGGATGCACCCACTGGATTTTGACTGCTCTCCTCCAGCAGCATTCCTGGTGCTCCCCACCACCAGAAAAACTTCCTTGGAGCAGCCCAAGAACCACTGGAGCCCATGGCAACCTCACCCAAACGTGTATCGTGTTCCACTCGTGCGTGGGAGCCCAGCTGCTGGGGAGCCAGAGCAGCAGTGCTTGAGGTATTTGAGCTGTTACCACACAACAGGATTAATTTTAATCCAGGCTGCCTAATGCACCAAGCTGTCAGCACAGCCCACATGTTACTGCCAGACAGCTTTATTTACAGACTTCTGGGGACTGTGTGCACACAGAGCAGGTAGAAAAAAAGCTCAACCACAGCCAAAGTGGAGGGTTCAGGGGGTTTGAGGAAAGGCAAGTATTTGAAAGCACTGGAAGGTGTACTGAGTGACAAAGTAGGGGAAGAAAGAGTCAATAAAAACTTCTTAGGTGATACTCAAATGGTACCTCCAAAACCACGGGGTCTTATTATCAGTGCCAAGTCCAGAGGAGGGTAGGAAATAGCAATAAACTCTGAATTGTGTGAAATGCTCACTTGGAGGGCAAAAACAGGTTTCTAAAGATGGGAATGTGATGCATCAGAGCAGCCAGATGGGTCCAGTGGACACCTCAGACACTCTCTGGCATTTTCTGCACCTGAACTAAAATGATTGAGTCACAGAATGGTGTGGGTTGGAAGGAATCCCATGGGCAGGGACACCTCCCATTAGACCAGGTTGTCCAAAACCCACCCAACCTGGCCTTGAACACTTCCAGGGATGGGGCATTCCCAACCCCTCTGGACAACCACATTGCTGAACCAGAGAAAAGTGAGTGCACAGCTGGAATCTGTCCCCAGTGCAGCGTCACACCACTGCTCTGGATCTTTGGTTGCTGTGGATTTTCAAACTACAGGGAGCAGTCATCCAGCTTCAGGAGGCTCAGTTGTACCCCTGCTCAGAGCAAGGGACCCAAACACACACTCAGTCCCTGAGCAGAAACCTCAGTCTTCTCCTTACTTTTCCCCCCTGGTCCTATGGGTGGAAAAGCCCAGCAGGCTGAGGACAGGACAGCCCCTCAGGTTAGAGCTATTTCCAGCAGTATTTCCTCAAGCATTAGCAGCCAGCTCCCTTGACTGCTCCAGGACGTGGGAATATTTGTTATGGAAATTTTGTACAACATCACTACGGGGCCAAATGCAGCCTACACAGGTCCTCAGTTAAACTCAGCAGCTGGCACAGAGTATATTCTCTTAGAACTAAATTTGACCAGCAGAGTTCAACAGGCCACTAAATAGACTTTGAAGGCCTCCAAGCAAGATGCCTTTCCATTTCCAGACACTGAACGAGCACAAAGCATCAGGATTAAATAGCCAGTGACCACAGCTACAGTGATACACAAGTCAACATCCACATGGGCATCCAGAGGGACATTTTCCAGTGAGAACACTTTTCCTCCCCCTCATTTCTTAACGTTCCTCTAGAAAAATTTACTTGTACATTGCAGGAAATCTCTTTCTCAATGCTAATTCATCACATTTGCTAACTTAAAAGAAATACTGGGGTATTTCTAAAGTAATCCTGAAGAATTATTAAACACAACAAAAAATGTCAGGACACTGCAGCCATAAAAAGGTTTTCTTTAGGGAGCTGCTCATTGCCATGGGGAGGGAGATGAGAGCTGAACCAGGCTGGAGCTGAGACACAAAGTTCAGTCAGTCTTGATTTGCACACCTCCAAGAACTTGGGTATCCATCTCCTACATCTTCTGAAGCTTAAACTCTTCTTTGTTCCCCTCCCTGTGATGGCTCCCTACAGGGACAGCTCCTATAACCGTGACCTGCTACAGCAATGGTGCTTTTGTGGAATTTCACAGAATCATCACAGAACGGTTTGGGTTGGAATGGACCTTAAAAATATCACATAGTTCCAAACCCCTTGCCATGGGAGCTTCTCAGGGTCCCACCCAACCTGGCCTTCAATACCTCCAGGGGTAGGAGTTTGTTAGCTCTGAGTAGGTGTAAGGCAACCCTCATTCCCCAAAGCCCACCTGTGCCAAGAACACAATTCCCCAGTCTCTGATCGTAGGAGCCAGGCATCCTGAGAAGAGACAGCACTTCCAAAATGCAGTTTCCTGTGCTTAGAGGCGATTCAGAGTGTAATCAAGAGCCTCTGGGCAAAAGATGGAGGAACATAAGCAAACAGGAGCCTTTGATTCCCCACTAGCTGTAGAACAGGTCAATCCTGGCTGCAGCAGTGTTCAGCCACGAGCTCAGGCACAAGAGAGGCTGATCTCAGAATGCCTGTTCCTGGGTTTTTGGCAATATGGAAGTAATTGATTCTTCTGAACAACTCTGGACAGCTGGATGCTTAAAATAGCAGCATAGATTTAAGTGCTTTCCCTCCCCTTTTGGGAGGGAAATGGAGATTTTACTTCTCCATTAATGCAGCTATTGCAGCTGCATGGGGGAGCCAGCAAGGGCTCTGGAGGCAGGAGAAGCAACCACAGCAGGAGGAACTGCTGCAGCCCACACCAAAGGACAACTGCAGTGGTTTGCATCAGCTGCAGGGATGCTGGAAGGACACAGCTGTGACAGATTTTTCCTCCAAGTTGATGCAGAAAGATGGGTACTGGCTCTACTGGACAAAACCACAACCGTTCTGTTCTGATGGCTGGAGCAAAGGCACTGACTGCTGTTTGCAACATGGATTTGGTGCTCCCCTGCTTCTCTCCTCTGCAGGACTTATGTTGCTTCCCTCAATCCTCCTGAGGAGCAAAAGTCTGGTACAGCAATTAGCCCAGAAAATGAATCATATTCCTGGAGCCTGCATCAAACTGTGCAAAGTTTACAAGCGTCTTCCCAACTGTTTTGGAAGTTACTTAACACCAGAGATGAGGACGGGAGTGTTTTCCTTCCCCAGCCCTGCCACAGGATTGCCTTGGACATGTCACTTGGCTCCCACCTGAATTTTCCACTGGGGTCACTCTGGCCAGAGACCTACACCAAAAACTGTAAATGGTGGATGAGATATTTAACCCCCAATCCAAGAACCAAATTCAAGCAACAGCACAAACTTGTTTTTTCACTAATGACAGCAAGATTTTCTCAAAGGAGTGAGCTGTTTCTGCGGTCTAAGCCAGCCCTAATGAGAGGCCAGCTAAACAGAAGTTCATCAGTGTCCTGCCAATACACTTTTCATGTTTTTTGCTTCTGCTCAACGGCAGACGTGGCACATGAAGCTGAAGCCGTGTCCTGAGGTGGTTGGGCTTCCAGTCCCTGTTGCTCCAAAGAGGAAAAACTCCAGTTCCTGAACTAAGAATATCTGGATTCTTCTGCCTGACTTTAGGGATCTATTATAAAGGAGGAGCTTTTAGGGAAAATACAAAAGGTGGTCTCCCCACCAAACACCTGCTGTCAGGATGCTAAAACTGCTCTGGAGATCAGCCTTTAAAGCCAGGTTTGAGGAGAGCTGGCCCTGCCACATCACATCATCTTGTTCCCAGTCTGTAACTGCTTCTGCTGCCTCACAAACCCAGCCAGTCCCTTCATCCTCTGCCATGACCCATCTGCACAGGCTAAGTTCACAAGGCAGTGGGGTCTCCAAACTAATCCTAGTCAGGTCCAAGTTTCACCAGCTCAGATGCCAGACCAGCTACTAAAAACACAAAGAAACACAACTAACTTCAGAACAGACTGAATGATTAACATCTTAAAGGTAAGACTGCAATTTTCATGAACAAGATGTATTTTCTGAAACATGACTACATTCATCTGTACATTAGATGTAAGGTAAAATAGGCAAAGCATTAATTTTTCCATTTCCCACAGCTTCTCCAGCAAGCTGGCTCTGCTCTTTTGGAAGGGAACTGCTACCCTCTAGTGGGGCTGGCTGAGAGCAGCTTTTTGGAAAAGTTTTTTCCATCCCAAGGCAGGAATTTAAAGACAAAGAGGCCACACTTGAGAACTCAACGTTTGGGGTCACACTGTGCCTGGCTGATCCCTACTACAGCTCAAGGCAAATAAAGAACAACTCCATATTCTGAATGGAGTGGGTAGGGAAAAACCCACAAAGAACCCCACAAAGGAACCCTACAAACCTTAATTTACCATACAGATGTCCTGGGGTATATTCTACATCCAAAGAAATATTCAGCTTTTCCTCCCCACCCTGCCACACTCCAGTGGTTCCAGAATTTAACTCACCCTTGTGAGCTCTTTGAAGAAGGGGTAACAGAAGGCAGCTGCTCACATTTCAGCCCCAGACTGTAGTTTCTGCCATTTTCTTGTCCCCATTCCCAGCTGGGAGCACACCAACCCCCTCTGGGCAGGGCAGGTGACACCTACCATACTCCCCAAAGACCAGGTATGTGTATTTCTTGTGCTGCACGATCCAGGAGACAACTTTCACACCCAGCCAGATCAGCAGCATCCCCAGCGTGGCATCCAGGATGAAATTAATAAGGTAGCTAAGAGCAGAGGAAAATTCAGGTTTCAGCTGTGTTCTTAAGTCTTATCCAAAATCTTTAATTTCATAATGGAAATTAATTAAAAAAATTCCTAAGATTTTAAATAACTCTGCTTTACAATCCAAACTTGCTTCCTTTTTCTTTCATTGCATTTTTCTAAGCCTTACCAGCAATTTCTTAGTTTAAATGCTTGTTCAGGAGAGAAGGGACAGGCTCTACCAACTCTCTAGCACTGCTCATTTATTCATATAGCAATAAGTACTTCTTAAAAGTTACCCCTCCAAAAAGCAGGCTTTCCATTTGCAGCATCTTTTTTTTCCTTATTAAAAAGAATGAAAGCTCAAGTTTTGGAGGAAACAGAACCAAACTGTTCCAGAATTTCACACAAGAAAATGGCAGCTTTTTGGGCACCACAGCTACTCTACAAACTGGGCAGCAGAAGAGGCAAGAAATCCATTTTTCTGAGCAGCTGCAAGAGGCTCCCAAAAACAGAGAGACAGGCTGAGAGGCAGGTTTTGAGGGAGGTGATGGGCCCTGGCTCAGCATCAATAACCCTGAGGTCCCAAAAACCTCCAGTTCAGGTCCCAGAGCAGATCCAGGAGCTGAACCCATCCCTGCCAGGAGATTTTGGCTCAGTGGATTTGGGCTCTGCAGCTCTGGATGTTGAAGTGTCACTGGGCAGAGTGCCAGAGGCAGGAGACCTGCAGGGACCTTCTGGGGATTGCAGGCTCCAAGCTCTAATCCAGGGCTTGGTATTTTCATGAACTCCAAAAAGAAAAAAGAAAATCACATAGACTAATGTGGTTTTTTTTATGCAGTTTTCCATTATTGCAACATTTTCTGCCAGATTTCTGCAGCATGAAGAAAATGCCAAGCACAAGGCTACAGCAGTGAACATTTCCTTTTCCAGAACTCGATACTGCCTCTGAACCAAGAAACTGAAAACAACAATCTGCTTTTGATATCCACTTTGAAAGCATAACATTAAGTTTTTCTACATCCAAAAGCTCAGGCTGGCTTTTTACAGTTTCCAGCTGCTGAAATCAAGAGCATTCCATACAAACATGAGGTTTGGTGGTTTATACTGGGCAGGACACAGAACATGAGCCTCAAAGCCCAGGGACAGGGCTGGAGGGTTTTAAGCTGCCTAGCTCAGGATGACAAGTCAGGCAGTGCAGGGAAACATAAAACACACATGAAAAATAAACAACACACCCAAAGGGCACAGCATAAGCATGAAAGGGTTTATTTTAAAACACTGTCTGTTTAAAAAAACAACAATACATCATTTGAGAGGTTATGTGCAGCCCCAGCCAAACTCGTGTCTGCTTAAAGAAACATATCAAGGTGAAGCATTTTAATATAAAAAAGGAGACGGGCCAGAAGGTTTTAAGGAGCATTTTGAAGCCTAAATGAGCTCCTCAAAATGAGATAATACTGAAACTAAATTTTTATCTTCAAAGTGGCTGAAGTAAAGGTGGCACTTCTACAGTAAGTCTGAAGTTTGGTTTAGAAATCCCCTAAATAGGACCAGCAAAAAAGACAGCAGAGACAAAAACAAGCCCAGCAGGGTTTATCCCCATGCAGTGCTTCAAATGGATCAGTTTCCACTACTTATGACCCTTCCTAACACAATTCTCCCTTTGACAGATGTAGGGCATGAATGCAAGTGCCCTGAGTACTTACAGAGAGCAAGGGTCCTCCTCAGTGAGATCAGACAGAAAAACATTGGCAAAGTGGATGAAGAGGGCACCTATTGCTTGCTTGGAGGTATCATAAAACCTGGAGGAAAAACCAAGATTTTCTGGAGGAGTTATGCAGGGAAATTTATTTCTAGTGAGCACCAGCTACTTTATGGAGGTTTCCTTGGGAAGCAGCAGCACATTTCATTTAAAAATTAAATGTCATACAGGACACACAGGGGGCCTAGAAGACTGTTAGTATAAGAGGAAAGAAACATTATAAACACAGTCTTTTCAAGTTTCAAATGAAAAATCTCACCATATCCTCCAGGGACGCCTCTCTGCCTTTGGTTCCTTAAATCGTTTAACTGCAAAGAGAATTAGAGAGGTTACATTAGCCAGATGAACCACTCCACGTGTGCAGCCTGCACCCACCTTCACTGCAGAAGCAGTCAAAAAGTCCTGCAGGACCCTCAGCATTTGCAAGTTTAAAGCTGAGCAAAGCCAAAGGACCTCCGCCAGGGCAGTGGTGGAATCACTGTCCCTGGAAGTGTCCAAAAGACACAGATGTTGTGCTTAGGGACACTGGTTAGGGGTGGGCTTGGCAGTGCTGGGTTAATGGTTGGACTTGATGATCCTGGATGGCTTTCCCAGCCACAATGATTCCATGGCTCTGTTCTCTGGCCTGGATGCAAGCCAGCCAGAGGCAGTGTCTGCACCCAGGGGTCAGCAGGATGGACAGCAGAGGTGTTTGGAGAGAGCCATGTGCTCTGGCATCCCTCAGAGCAGCATTCCTGTACCATGGGAAGTGACCTAGGGAATGCTAAGGGAGGGGCCATCACTACCCACCAGCCCCAATAACCCTTCCAGCCAACTTGGAATTACAGTGCTGACAGTGAAGGAGCTCTTCACTCCTTGAAAACACTCAAGGTCAGGTAACTGCTCTGTTCTCTCCAGCTGTATTTGAGCACCCAGGCTGTCCCCAAAGGGCAGCCTGGGCTCCCTTCCACTGGGAAATGCCTTCCTGATCCAACGTGGAAGGATGCAGGGATTTCCCTGACAGGAGCCTTGACATTTCAGAAGTGCAGCTTTGTGCTGCTTTTACTGGCAAGGTGGCAGGGCAATAGATGAAAAGACGAGGTTGATAGGACAATGAGGAACCTTTTTCAACTAAATTAAGAGATACTTAAAAGAAGATACTTAAAAGAAGGGATATTAAACTGAAGATAAATTCCTTACTGTGAGGATGGGGAGGCACTGGAACAGGTTGGCCAGAGAAGCTGTGGCTGTCCCACCTCTGGAAGTGTCCAGGGCCAGGTTGGACAGGGCTTGGAGCAACCTGGGACAGTGGAAGGTGTCCCTGCCCATGGCAGGGGGTGGAACAAGATTGTCTGTAAGGTCCCTTCCAACCCAAACCATTCTCCAATCCTGTGATCTCACCTAACCCCAGGACTTCAGGCACATGCAGGGTTTTGGTGTCCATCCCAAATCCACAGAAAACCAGCACTGCAATGACCTGGTCCATTATTGCCAGTAATGAGTAGCACAGCATCTCTCAAGTTACACCAGACATTGCTGCAGCAGTTTTTCCTACCCCTGTCCAGAAAAAAAAACCCTCCTAGTTTCCCTCATCCATCTGAATCCCACCATGAGATATCCCTGCAGCAATGACTTCCATCAGCACAGACAAGATCTATCATCACTGATGTCCTTCAAACGCCAATTTTCATTTCACCTACCCACAAGCATCAGAGCCATGGACCAACCAAGTGGCCAGAAGTGTTTAAACCAACGCTCAGCTCATGGGGGCAAAGAGCACAGTGCTGCAGAGAAGCTCTTGGAGGGGTCTTCAGGCCACCAGGCCAGCCAGCTGACCACTAGCCCAACCAGAGCAGCACCAGGGGAGATTTTAATTATTTTTCTTAATAAGTAGTGACATGTTATGTATCCACAGCCACTCAGGCTAGAAACACAGTAATTCAGTGTGATAAGATGACAAGTAAGAGGTAAGAAGTTAATGGTGTGGTGCCTTGTTGAACACAGCTTGTCATGCCTCATTAGATTTAAGAGAGTTATCTGAGACTGTGTAATTATCAGAGACAGTAAAACTGTTGTATTAAAGATAAAAGCTAGCATTATAGAGAAATAATTAACTGCTCAATAGGGCATTTACTGTGCAGAGCTGCAGCAGGCTGTCTCCAAATTAAACCAGAAATCCAGCCAAGATTACCAGAGCTTAAACAGGGAGCAGAGTTGTTTGGTAGCTGTGACCTGGGGTTAGGGGGGGATGTTAAATCCACCCAGGAACAGCACCACATCTCTGAAGACTCCAGGAGATGGTGGACCCCTCCATGAAGCAGCACTTCTGTGCTTAGTGAGCACAGCAGGGCTCTGGAGACTGAACAACAACTGCAAAATTTCCCTCTCCTCTTCCAAACACTACAGAGAACCGAGCCCTGGCATGCACAGACTCGGATGGAGAAAGGCTAAAATCTGCTCTGTTCTTCTTAAAATGTGTTTCCATTCACTGCAGCCCACTCAGCTTTCCACCAGCTGTAGGTGGGTTTGCTACCTGGCCTCAGACAGGTCAGTTCATTCTTAATATTTACTTTAAGGCAAGTTAATTAAAAATGTAGTTTACTGCATACAGAGTTGCACAAGATGGAAGAGAACCCCCATTCAATTAGATTGAAAACGAGACTGGAATGTACCTGGTCTCTACCAGAAGGCATCAGGACCCTGTTCCCTACCACAGGATAGAGGATTTTAATGCTGCTTCCCTTCTCAGCTTTGTCCACGTGCAAAGCAAGCTGCCTTGTGCAAGGAAGCAATGTTATTGCACATCTTGGAAAGAAATTCTTCCCTGTGAGGGTGGGGAGGCTCTGGTACAGGGTGCCCAGAGAAGCTGTGGCTGCCCCTGGATCCCTGGAGTGTCCAAGGCCAGGCTGGATGGGGCTCAGAGCAACCTGTGAGAGTGGAAGGTGTCCCTGTCCATGGCAGGGGGTAGAACTCGATGATCTCTGAGCTCCCAACCATTCTGTGACTCTGAGATTTTGTAAGATCCAGGGGAAGGGCACCCTTTAAACATGAGCAGAGCCCCAGTGGGATGGTGCCTGCCTTCCTCAGGGTGTGCCCTCACAAGTTCCCACTCCTCCCCTACTTGGCTCCAGCTGCTGCAGACACAAAGCTGTGAAGCTGAACCAAAAGGGAAGGAAGATGAGTGACAATTTGAGAGATCCCCTGCCCACAGCAGAGAAAGGGTGGGGCAGGAAACAAAATACTTCTCAGCCTTTCCTCTTCAGTCAAGGACAATAAAGATCATACATGCTTGAAATTCCCTCAGAACCACCAGACTGGGTGGAAGCTGACATCTGAATGAGAACCTGTGAAATGTTAGAAAAAAGAAAAAAAAAAAGAAGAAAAAAAATAATTTGCTGTAGTCTTTCAATGCAGATCTGGAAATAGTCAAAAAGCTAGAAGATAAAAGCACAATGACAGCTGTCCTCACTCTTTTTCCAGGGGAATGTAGAGGTTAATATTCATTATGGTGTTCTCTTGATGCAGTAGAAAGGGGACAGACAGCTTTGCCTAAGCCCTAGACAAAGACAAATGCTGTGAAGTTACCAGAGCTTGCCACAGTCAACATCCCACAGCCTACTTCTGCTTTTAAACAAACTTTCTGATTATAAAAATTGATTAAGACAAGGACAGTAGCAATAACAGCCCTATTCCCTTGTGCTGTTCCTCACCCATGAGGGAACATCCTCCCTGCATCCCCCATTGACCCCACACTGCATTCAGACAGATTTGCTGCAGATTTGTGCACCAGCACAGGTATAAACCCCCTAAATTAAGCAGAATTAGCTGCAGCATCAACCAGCAGCTGATCAGCAAAACAGGCTACCAAGTCAGGTTTCTACAAAATTATAGAGGGAAACTTACTTCCCTTGGATATGGTTAGACATGCTTGGCTGAGAGCCAGACCACCTCCCTGACAAATCTTAGTGCGATCAGCCACAGGATTCTGAAGCTGAGGTTTGGGAGGGAGGTGTCGACTCAACAGACAGAACTACTGGGATCTGATTTACAGGGATCCAAGCCTGACCCCAACTTAGCTCAGCAGCAGGCCTGGGAGGTGGATACTGAAAATGAACCACATATGAGAATTTTATGTGCATTAATACACCCAAATTGTGAGAGGTCCACCAAAAATAAAGCCTGAAATACCGCAAACTGGTGATACTGCTACGTGCTTTTAAGAGGGGATTAAATTGACTGCCATAAACCCCATCTCCAGGGTCACATCCCACTAGCAAGAGGGTCAGGACTTAATTTCTGGTGTGTTCCAAAGAGGACTTGGAGCTACTGTACCAGGGAGGAAACAGAAGCTCTTTCCCTGCCCAACCTCTGTTATTTTCAGCAGTACAGTCTCCAACGACACATTTCAACCTATTTTGCAGGACACACCCTTTCCCAGGCTCTTTCCAAGCCCCAGGCAGGAAAGAAGCCAACATGCAGGATACAGAGCCAAAACCCTGGGGTCTGCACTATTCTTAGCCTGAGCATGCAGCCACTCAGACAGCTCGACCCCAGACACAATGGCAGGAAGCAGCAGCCACTGTTTGCAGAGAGCAGCCAAAGAGCTGCTGGCCAGAGCAGTGTGAAACTTATATCCCACATCACTTCAGGGAGCAGCAAAAGTCCTGGTTTTCCTCCTCTAAACAGCTGTCAGTGGTTTGAGGACATGGACTGCTGCTGACTTCCATCCTCAGGTCGGCACTAGGTGTATTTAGTCATTGCCCCCCAAAGAGCCTTGTACCAGTGTTACAAGAATGGAAGCACCTCTAGCAAAACGGGCAGAGGAAGGAACAGAAATTGAGATTGTGTTTATGGAATCACAGAATGGTTTGATTGGAAGGGTCTTTAAAGACATCTCGTTCCAACTCCGGGACACCTTCCACCAGAGCAGGTTGTTCAGGAGCCTCAGCTGGAACATTCATCCTTCTGGAGACTCCAACTGCCCCAATGAAGGCCACAGAGGACTCTGGCATGGTTGCCAGTTTTAAACTCTACCCTTTGCGTCTCATTTTTACACTGATATTTAAAGCTGTTATTTTAGCCAAGTGCCAGGTGGTCACCAACCAAAGCTGTGAGATAATAAGCATCAGTCATGCTTTGCACACTGAGAACAGAACATATTATCTGCTGACACAGCAGGTCCTACAGGACACCTGGACTGAGGCTGGGCTCCAACTCAAATACAGAGCATCCTGGAGGAGGCAGTTGTGACTCCCTCCATATAAAGCATCACTATATTGCAAGCCAACATCTTGAAAAAATGGAGTTTAGACAAGGAAAGATAAAGACC